CAGATATTCAACAAATAGGTACTAATGAGAATTAAGGTGAAAACCTAACCATGTATATATTTGGCTTTATATATAACAGTAATCATGAATAAAGGTATCAAAAAAATAAAACTCAGCCTGAATTAAATGGCCTATGATCTTATGTTGGGGCAGAGTAACTTTAAAAAAAATTGCAATTGTCCCCCAGATTCCAGAAGTATGACTACTGCAAACATAAGGGGGTACCTTGAAATGTAACATCTTAAAAGAAAGAGATGATGTTTTCTGTCAGCATGATTCTCAGAAAATCATAATTATTCCAAAAATATCCCAGAACTATATATACAAATGAACTGAATATATGAGGCTGTAAATGTATTCTCCAACTTAAAAGTAGTTCTTGTCCCACCCTCAACTTTCTTTCCCTATTCTTCTATTAATTACCTGTACCACTAAAAAAGGAAAAAGAAAAACCACTGAATTTACATATGAAAAAATACCAGTGGTAGTCATTAAATAGAGAGAGTAAAGATGTTCTATAAAAAAGGGTAGTGCTAAGTTCTCCAAAATGTGGTAGGAAGTAAAGCATTATGTTCATGGAAGAGAAGAGTTAATTCAAAGTATGGATTTTCCAGTCTCTCATCTTTCACCTAATTATAAAGGTACCATTCCTAAAATAGGTAAGAAGCCTAAATGGTTATGGAAGAATGTAAATGCTGTAGGAAAAGGAGGAGGACATATAACCATATCTTCCATTTGTTTAGCTATGCTAGGGCACTTGAGATTTAAAGCTATCTTTACCATGTCATGAATATAACTGACAGAGCCTACAAGGGAGATGCATACATGAATTTGGTCACCATATGCAAGAAGGTTGGTGCACAGGGGTCCTGGAAGTCACAAGGTAAATGCTGGATCTTAGGATCTATTTTTCTCACAAAGACAATCCCATCATATCCTATATCATAGCATATAAATAAAACAAATCTCTCTTCTTAGGACTGACATACACACAGGGTATCTTGGGCAATTAAACCCTTTCCATGAAAGCTATGAGAGGCTGCTGAATCTGCTTTCAGTTAGTAAAGAAGGCCAGTCACCTCTGAGAACCTTAGTGGAAAGGCTGATCTACACACCAAGTATGAGTCAAAATCTAGATTTCTATGGGGGGGAAAAAAACATTATTAGATAAGCCATTTAGTCTTCTTGTCTTATTTTACAAATTTTCAGAAAAAAATTATCCAATAAAACAATCAGATACAAATGACAAGATACAATATTTTCCAATTAAATACAACTCGAATAACAGAAAATATGTCAGCTAACTAACACAGTTTCATTTATTCCTGAAAAATCTGTTAAGAGCACCATAATACCAAAACAATCCCTTTAATTTTCTTTGCCCCAAAACATTTTATGGCCTAAAGCAGTTGGTAACT